GCATACGGAAGCCATCTTGAGCTATCCACCATCTTGGAAACAATTAGGCTTCACTTCCTCACTGAGCAAACCATTTCTCAGAAATCATGTGATCAACTGTTCTCCCCAAGGGGCGGTTGGGTTTCTAGGCAATGGGAGAGAAACACCCACACCAACGATTGGTTCATGCTGTTCTATCTCATTTGCATTTCAGGCAACCAATCGGTGCCCACCAGCCTGCATATAACTCGCCATTTTTTCCCTCAATAAACAGAAGAAAACTTGATCAGCCCCTCATATTGTCTCCACTGTGTGTGTGTGTGTGTGTGTGTGTGTGCGCGCGTGTGTTTGTCCCATCTCTCACTCCCTCCCCCAGGGAACCTGTTCGATTGTCCCCCGGGTCAGGACACCATATGATCCAGCAATCCCATTTCTTGGCATGTACCCAAAGGACAGAAGAATTTCTCATTGGAAAAGTGCTTGTTCATTGATGTTTATTGCGGCACTTTTCACGATTGCTAAGACATGGAACCAACCCAAATGCCCCCGTATGGCTGAATGGATTGAAAAACTGTGGCACACATACTCTATGGAATACTATTCAGCCATTAAGAACAACAAAACTCTGACTTTTGACAGAAAGTGGAAGAATAAAGAATATGGAAGATTTACTGCTGAGTGAAGCAAGCCAGGCTATGAAGGAGAGACACTGTATGTCCCCACTTAATAAATACTGAATGTCTGCACTCTGTAACTGAAACTGGCGGGCTAAAGGATGTACAAACACAAAAGGTGAATGTGGATGCCAGATGTGGTGTGTGTGGAGGAGTGAGGCCTGGGGAAGAACATTTGGAGGAGGGATATGAAAACAACATTGTTGAGACAGGGAGGTAGTGTTGTTATATTTTGATCACCTCGATCGGGGAGAAATATTCATATAGTGAAATGATCACCCTGTAAGCTAAATAATGTGATTGGATCTATTTTAAAAATGTAAAAAAAGAAAAAAAAGAAAAAAACTCACGCTGGGCACATGTGTGTTCATGCCCAAGATCCCTAGAAGAGAATGGAGGAGAAGGAATTGCAGCGTGG